GCTCTTGTTTGGGTTCATCTCCACGTGTAGATTGCTGTCTGGGGTTCTCTTCTTTCTCCATCTTTCTCCCACCTCAGCTTGCCTTTACGGATACACGGACCGTTGCGCGAAGGAATGTCCGGGAAGTAAAAGGGGCTAATGTCGTTTGTTGAAACTCGTAGGTTGGCACAAGTTACAGTGCTACAGCAACGCCACTGACATTTTCCTTGGAAAAAGAACTAGTTTCTACTTCCGTTACAAGTCCCTGCAAGGTAACTCGTTACCAGTGAAATTATCGTAAAATGTAATTAATTACTATAATTCAAAACCATCTAAGTACCATCTAACCACTATAAAATAAATCGTTATAAAAAGAAGCATTTACAAGGTCATCATACTCAGAAACATCTTTTCAAAGCTGGGAGGAATTGTTTCTGAGGGAGAGCTCTCCATTGTTTGGTCTTGTTCCAATATATGTGATAGTGTCCGAACTTACGTGGTTTACCCTACACTGTTTTCGGATTGAATTGGTACCCCCCCTAGAATTGGTAACCCCCCCCTTCCATCAAGTACAGCCAGGACACCTTGTGGGTGGATGGTGAAGTATTAATAGAACCATCCAACAACCATGTGGAGCATCAGGCTTGACATCTAGAGGATCGTCTGGAAAGCTTGTGTTTTCACTGTTCTCCATAGTAGGGGGGTACCAATTCAATCCGAAAACAGTGTAATGCATTACTTTACTTCGTTTTGGAGTGTTGCCGCACTCGAGTGCTTTGGTTGTGTGACCATCGCTCCCATCAGCGCTTGGTCCCCACAGAAAGCATTCAAGGACGGAAATGGTAATTTCTGTTATTTTATCCCAATGCAAAACTGGAGACTAGCAAACGACGTACCGATCTTTAAGAAGGGCGAAAAGAGTCATCCAGGAAATTATAGGCCGGTAAGTCTCACGAGTATCCCAGGGAAGATCATGGAGAGCATACTAAGGGACCATCTCTTGGATTTCCTCGAAGGAAACGCGCTCATTCGGGACTCTCAACACGGCTTTAGGATGCGTCGAAATTGTCTCACCAATTTGCTCGAATTCTACGACTGGGCGACGGAAGAGAGGGATGAAGGGAATCCTGTGGACATCGTCTATTTAGATTTCGCGAAAGCTTTCGATACCGTTCCTCACAAGAGGTTGCGGGTTAAACTGGAGGCGCACGGGATCCAGGGTAGGACGAGCGAGTGGATCAGTAGTAGGTTGGCAGGACGCGAGCAACGGGTGATGATAAATGGGGAAGCGTCGAAGGAGGTCGGAGTCGCAAGCGGTGTCCCTCAAGGCTCGGTCCTTGGACCGCTTCTGTTTTTGGTTTACATGAACGATTTGGATCTCGGCGTAGAGAGTAAGATAAGTAAATTTGCCGACGACACAAATATAGGTTTTACCATAGGAGGCGGATAGGGCTCGAGCCGAGCGAGATTTAAGTCTTTTGGAGGATTGGAGCAAGAAATGGCTCATGAGGTTTAATAAAAGTAAGTGTAAAGTTCTCCACGTCGGTCGAAACAACGGTAGGTCTCTCGACACGTTCGGCGATGTTAAATTGGATGAGGCAAACGGAGAGAGAGATTTAGGAGTTTCTATCGATGAGGACCTCAAGTTTTANGCCTACCCTAAAATTAAGGAACGCTCAACTTCGCGACGTGATATCAAAATGGGCGAAATCGCCTCTTGATATCACTAACTATCCTGAATCCTGAATCCTGCAATAAATATAAAAAAGAGAGAACCATTGCAAGCAGACAACACAAAAGTGAAACCATCATGGTGCTGCCCATAGGCCTGGCGAACTAGCCTAGAAATAATAGCCAACCCACCGGCAAAAGGTTCACAGGTTTGTAAGCGAGGTTACCGAAGGGAAACATAATCCTGCCCGCACGATTAATTCGACCCAGAGTCAAGTTGATGTAACGAATGTGAGATGTGTCCACATTCGGATTGTCAACTCTTCTGTGTGAAGGGAGTATAACTATAGCCCACAAAGGGAATCAGGAAGCGTTAACAATGCTAAATTAATCGCGTCCCTGTGAGAAATGTGCCGTATAAGAACAGTTTCCCAAGAACGTAGCTAGTATGAGATGACCTCTCCTAACTCAAAATGCCAGTACCATCGTGGGGACCTTGCACAAGATTCTTTTCAAAACGTTTTGAGAGCAGATAGACTCAAGTGTTATGATTAAGCATGTACCCCTTAGGGATGTTGTGTTGCCCCTAAAGTTAGGCCAGGTTAGGTTAGGCTAGGTTGGGGTTTATTATTAAGAAAAGGAATCCCAATGGATTTGGGTCGTGGGGCATGATGGATCTCTGCATGATTTGGCCCAAGTATGTTGTCCCCATAAACCTTTCCCAAGACACTGCGGCAATTGCATTACGTCCACATTTTAGACCTATTAATACCAGAGCTTGTCGATATGCTGTATTTCACTGAATGCCAGGACTGCATCTTGAGTTGAGGTTATGTGATTTCAACTTTGAGTGAATTGACTTTCACCAAAGCTAAACTATTCGTAGGTCTATGATAAACATATTCCCTAACATAATGTTTGGCATATCACAGGATTACAGTCCTGTTTATTAGGACTGGGTACCTTTACCTAGGTTAGGCTATTATTCCCTAGGAACAATACCTGCCAAGCTATGGTGCCCTAATGCTTTGCATAGGTGAAGCATAGTTCTTAGCATGAAGCTGATTGGTTTGTTTGGTAAAAAAAAAAAAATTTCCATTAAATGAGCTTCATTGTCCTAGTAACATCATGTAATTCCATTATTCTTCATCTCTCCCTATTCTTTAAGAGGTGGTTTTCTGTGAACAGCTCTTTCACTTGGGTTCAACACTTTTTCATCCTGTGACCTTGTGCATTTGTCAATTACACTTATGCATGGGTGTCAGTGTCAAGTTAAAATTTTATAGTGCGCTAGAATGAAGGTTGTAAAATCTCTTCCATCATGTCATGAAAATTGGATTTGATCTAACAGTTATTTTTTGACAAATTATTTGTGCAGTTATTGCTGTCATGTTCAGCTTTACTGTCTTGCATTGAGGGCTTGTTTGATTCTGTAAGCATCATGATCAGACTTGCATGAGGTCTAGTGTGATGTGAACACCATCATGTGTATGATGGTGTTCGCATGGTGAACTGGTGTTCGCATGGTGAACAAACCCCCACAGCCCTACTATGGTATGTAGAAAAACTGAGTCCAGGACAAAGTGGTCCTGGAAGTTTTGGTTCTGAAATTATGATCCTAGGAGAAAATGGACCTGAGACTAAATGGTCCTATTGAGGAATTGGAGAAGATGGTTCCTACCATTGATAAGTGCTATGACAGCCTATCAAAGGTATATTATTATTAAATAATCTACTAATGAGACTGAGTGAAAAGTAACTGCATGCAGACTGAAATGGATAGGACTCACCTACTACTATCCACTTTTGCCAAAAGAAGATTTTGATAATTTTCATTGAGTGGGACTGAAAAGGAAAATAAATCCAGTCTGCATCTAATGGTTGAAAGACATTAGTTCGGAAGATTGGAAGACAGAAGGAAGTGAATGCAGAATACATCCTAGTGTGAAAGGATGGAAAGCAGAGTTTTTTTTATCAAAAGGCATGGAATACCAAATGGGGTACTTTTATTTTGAATGTCAAATTCAATCATGATGGTATGAAAGATTGAATGACATGCTGAATGTCAAAATTTCAAGTCGTCTCAAGTCAGAAAGGTAGTAGTGAATTTCAAGAGCAATATCGCTGGGCAAAATTTTGTGCCAATCCTTCTAGGAAGGACATGTTCTGGCAGCTGCCATACTCTTCAGTGATTTTGATTATCTGCTTGTCCTTCTTAATGTCTGTTATTTTCTTTCTAATGATGTTTCCTGCCTCAAACTACATGATTTTCTGTTCCGTTACTGCTTGTTCTTTCTGGAGCCACTGAATGAAGGCAAATATATTCATATGGTCAGCAAACAAGCAAGACATTCACTGGTGCCATGCTTCAATTGAATTTGTTGTACATGGGTCTCCCACCAGAGTGTGCTGATGAACATTCCATAAGGCAGGTTCATAGAGCAGAAAAGTTTGGGGCCTTCCACATGACCTGGGGTTGATGTAAATTGGACCAGCATTTTCTGGCATGGTTTTGAGCAACTCATGGAACACCTTGCTGATGCCTTCCAAAGTTACAAATGCAAGGCAGGTCATAATCTGGATTTTCAATGTAAAATCTTCATCTTCCACATAGCAATGGGCCAGGCCTCTCTCTTGCACTTAATGTCATACGCACTGACAGAGATGATAAAAGCATATCTGATGTTGAACAAATGATCTAGAAAAGTCTCAAACTAGAGAGTTGACTGCCTTGGAACTTGTATCCTAGACTCATGCAGACCTCTGTGAGGAGGGGGGAGTCTGGAAAATATAACATTTTCGCCCCATGGCATTCAGTCTTCTGAGTCATCAATTTTCCAATCTTTCTACTTTTCAACTAGTCTGCTTTCCATTTCTTCACCCTTTGAATGCTTTCAACTCAGCATGCTTTCTGTATCTCATTTGTTCATCTTTTAGAATTTCGCTCTTCTGATACTGACCCAATAAATCTAATGGCTTTTGTTGGGGATGCACATCTCATCAGTATTCTCATTGTGAAATCCAAGTACATCACATAGCTGCAAGATAGATCAATCCAAGCCTGTCTTTGTGCCTAGAAGATCTAGAACTGAACTGTCCTAGAATCAAATTCTCAAATTTTTGCAAACATCATGATTGGCATGACCATAGCTTGGCTGCCTTCCCCCAAATATCTCTTTATGTGAGATTTGTACCAAAGGGTAGAAATAAGGTGATAAACCTTTAGTGCCTCTCCAGCATTAACCACATGCTTCATATTCAATGCCCTGTTTTTCATAATCAGTTGCTTCATTTTCAAGAGTGGACAAAAAGAATGTGCTTACTATTGATTTCAATTGCTTTTTTACCTCAGTTATAGTTCACCATTTTATATCTCTTATAAATGGCATGGAGAGGCAAAGGTATAGCCCATTCAATGGGCCTGGTAAGTGGGAGTATAGGCTTAGTGATTCCCACCTTGAAGGCTGCCTCCAATAATGAGGATGACCCAAAAACAGTTTCGCAAGGTAGTAAAAAGATTCGACCTAAGGACCTCCCAATATATGGACGTGATGACATACAGTGAGTTGAGCTTACTTTATGACTTTCATGGAAGCAATTGTGTTGTCAAATGCCATGGTTAGTGATTCTTATTTCCCTGAACAGGTATGAATATTATGTTGATCCTCCAACAAGTCTTGAGAAAGCAGTGGGAAATGTGCGTGAACAAGTGGGACCATATGTCAATGAAGCTGTGAATGGAGCTGAGAAGTATGCTGTTGCCATTGCGGGGACAAGTGCCCAAATCATCCAAGCAGGTCGTCATTATGGTGAAGGTTGGTACCATTTAAACCTTGCTGGTTAATCTCAAAATGTTAATTTCAATAATTTTTTTTTACTTTTGGAAAATATCATTGTCCATGTCATAACTGATTTCATTTAAGCACCAAACAGTGACAAAGCATGCATTGTGAGACAGCCAAAAAACACAAACAAGTTCATATAGGCTTACTCTTGGATGTATGTATGTATCATTTGTGAGAAATATAAATATATGAATCTAATTTGAAACTGTATTTTGACATCAACAAAAAATTTTTTTTTGCAATTGTAGGATAGGACTAGTCCTTGAGACTATGAGAGTTTCTGATGAATACTTCAGCTCATTGTAAACCTTATTTGGATGAATTTAATAACCTAATTTTGACAGCCCTGGAAGCATTTATTGGAGATGAGAAGAACGATGTACCGAAGATAGGAGCAATTGCCATGGGAGGCCTGTTGGGTCTGTTGCTTGCACGGAGAAGAGGTCTTTTCCGCAAGACTCTCTACATGTCTGTTGCATTAGGAGGTTGGTTCTCACTCTTTATTGTATTTATAAACAGCATCAAGAGATTTCATATTGACTCATCATCCTCATTGATAAATATAACTCCCTATTAATTTTTATGTTAGTCTGGTCATCATTGCAATTGCAATTATGACATTCCAAGAAGAGGAAAGAAATTTTTTTTTCAGTGATATTAGCAGTAAGTATTGAAGCAAATTCTAGTTGAGTAGTAGTAAGCCAACCATACAAAAAAGCAATAAAAAATCTATCAGGTTGTAAAGGTGAAATTTAGACATTTCGATTTTTTCTAGAAAAATCTGGAAAATGTTAGAACTTTCTATGTAGGTGTATGAGTAGAGTGACCAGTGGGCATTGTGGGTGTGAGTGCTTATCGTGAACCTACAACAGATACATTGACGCAAGACTGCACTCTAGTCGTTGTTGAGTTAATTGTCAATAAATTGTTTTCTGGAAAATGTCTAAATTTCACCTTTACAACCTGATATAAGCTTATGGAGCATAGGATAGGCAGCTTTGTTTCATTTTGATGCCTTTAAGTTGCAGTTGATCAATGCATGGAAATTCACAAGACCCCATATTCTGTATCAATCAAATGTTAATGTCAAAGGAACATGAAGAATAAAGGAGAACATAGAATTATACCACTCCTATTCAACCTTCATAGACACTATTTGAGGGAAGTCTAATAAGTGCCAGGACAGTTTTAATTCACTCTTTATGTGAACTGAGTTTCTCGATCTTGTGGGTTACATAGTCAACTTTAGCTCTGAGGCATCTACTTAGAGATGACAATTTTTGTGATACATGAGGCTGCAAATTATGATAATCACCAATATATAGTAATTTCAGCCTGTAGCTCTATACTTTTCTTGTATCATCGCTATTTTTACTTTGTGATGAATTAACTTCTTTGGAATTCCTGCTATTTTTATTTCAGGAACAGCTGCTATTTGCTACCCAAAGAAGGCCAAGGAATTTTCAGAATATGCATATGAAGAAGGGAAACGTTATGGAAAAGTGGGCATCAATTTTGTTCTCGGAGGTAAGGTTTTTTTTCTTTTCCACTGGAATAGTGTCTAAGCAAGCCTAGACTGATTATGCTCCCTCTTTTTTTTTATGAAAGCAAAACCTGAGGTAGAAGTGAACCAAGGGAAAGCAGCTTTGCATGGGAAGACATCATCTGTGGCTATTTCCAGCAAGAGCTTGGACCAGATAGGAGAGGAAGTGAGTGATGTTGGATACTGGGGTTTCAGATTTCTGTCTTCTCCTTCCTTGTCTCAGGTATCTCAAAAAGTCTCTCTTTGGGGTTCCACATCCTCCACTCCTCATGCACCTCTTGACTATTCCTCAAAGTAAATTCTATATGTTTTTGGAGACAAACAGCTTTGCAGATTTGATGCAATGCAAATTTTATGTATTTATAGCAGTTTCTGTATGAATGTTATTGCATGACAAGATGTGTATGCTACTTTCTGCATACCCCATAACTTCTTTTGTGGAGCTAAATGTTAGCTTGTCTTTATGTCTGATTGAATATTGCTCTTTCGACCTTGCATCCATTTACAGGAGTTTCAGACTTTCACTCCCACTGTCTTTATAAATTACATGGCATAAGTACATAATACGTCGGGTGGAGTCATAAATCCAAATTTAAACTGTGAGGTATTTGGTCAGGGAATGAAATTTCAAAGCTGTTGTCCTTTATTTCCACTGTAACAAGAAGAATTCAGGTGGCAAGAACTTGGATGGAGTGAAGACAGCTAGCAAGAGAGACTCAACAGGTCAGGTGACTGGTGACTTCGGTCAGAGTAATCCCCAAGATCAAGACATGTACTCAACTCGATCTAGTTGATGTCCTGTGATGCAAGGGTTTGAAAAAAGTGCTACCAGTGACTCCTTAGTGGCTGTGACGACAGTCAGTCTTCACATTCAGAATCCCTGCATTGTGTTTTGGGTTCTTATACAGCTGTTGGTGTTCAGGAATGATACTTTGCATTAGGCATGCTATAAGAGCGAATTGTGGTGCTGCCCATAAATTGTTCTCACTCACTGAACCAATTTTATCTGTAATGCATCCTCAGTGCAGATGTTCTTTGAAATAAGATTTGAGGCTCATATTGGCAGTTATGTTTCATGCTGTAATTGTAACATAAAGAATATGCACTCTTTGGAAAATCTGGAAGATGGACTGTTTGAGGCACCTTACTTGAAATTTTGATTGTTTCATCTTTGTCATGACCATTGTGTTTCTCAGAAATGTCTGTGCCACCCCTGAAGCAAAATTGAGGCACAGTTTACTGTGATAGACTGTGCCAACAGCATCTATAACCCAAGGGAATACAGTAATGAGACATCCATGAGCATCTTTGTGTTTTTCTTCTCCCAATCAAGTAAATCTAGTTTTGAAGTTGTGATTATGTATGAGATGTCTTGTAGTTCCAGAAAAGTTGTAAAGGGACAGTGAAATCAAAGAAGACAAGTGACCATTCATCGGAACTCAATTGGGAAATAATTGTAATGGCTATCTCTGGAGAAGATTCTTAACCTAATAAAAACTCATGCATTAAAAGGGTCAACCCCTTTACTGCCCATGTATGCTCGTTTGTACCAGACATGTCTTTAACCCTTTCAGCACTAAATATTTTCCACTTCTAAGCAGCATTCTCTGTATTTGATATTTTTTTAACCCTTTCAGTGCAGCTGTTGACCATTGTTGACACCTGCACTGAGAGCATGGAACACAACTGTCGACTCCAGTCAACAGCCACACTGAAAAGGTTAACTGTTACTCACAAGTTGACTCGTTTTGAAGTTTCTGTTTCATGCCTGTTGTGGTTTTCATCATGAATCCTGTTGGGTGGTCGCCCAAAATGTTCTGGCATTTCTTGGACCAATTCTGAAGTCCTATGCCTTGATTTGTGAAAATCAGCTACAGTTTGTAAGCATACCATGGCTTCAACAAGGTATGCGAGTAAGCGACTTATTGCTGGAGAAGATATTAGCGAATTATTATTTGAATCTAAATAAATTTTCCAATATCCAAAATGTTCCTTACTTTGTAATTTGTAAATTACTTTGTACATTTTCCTTACATTGGAAACGAAATTGCTAATTAATTGCAAAGGGAAAAAAAAAGTGGAGGATGTGCAGTGTGTTGAAAATCTTAATAGTCGAGTGTTTAATGTATTCGTTTCTTTCTCGAATGACAGCCACCATACATCATTTACGAAGTTGAATGTGTGCCACTGTCACTAAACGCATTCATGTCGACAGTCAACTTCATCCGTCCTCGACATTTCTGTTGTTGCAGAATCCCCTCTCCTAAATCGCTTTCTCCAAAGCATCTTGTTGAAGGGCTAAAAGTAACGATTCATAGAAGTGATAGAAGCATGCTTACTTGTCTTTCAAGGCTGAAGGCAGTCTATAGCATTGACTCTCACCAATGCGCTTATTTATATCGTGGTTAACTTGGCGGGAAGGCCTCTATTGGCGGTGAGCGAGGGCTTTTCAAAACATATAATTTCTCCCTTACACAGCCCATCCTGGCTCTGCATTATTTTGAATATGACATATTCAAGGACAGAGATATGTGCAAAGGACTCTTCTCCACTATAAAACCGATCAACAGACGAGAGTAGCCGATTAATGCCGTTACTTGTCAAACTTCCACTGAAAACTGTTTCTTTAGCATTTTCATGATGACTGATATTCCCAAGTGCTATAGGGAAACATTCTCCCTTCTTTGTACTTCGCATAGATGCAAACTTTTCTGAGAAATGACTTAATGAAGGATGTCGGGCAATTTTTCAAAAACTATGCGCACCCGTCGGAAATCGTCCGCGAGAGACAAACATGATACACGTTAAATCCAACAGATGCATCCGATATGCAGGGCATGGGAAAAAAAAATTACCAACGTCTTATAACCTAAATATCTTCTCTCATACTAGCTACTTTCGTGAAACTTTCACTGTGCATATATGAGTATATATTCAATTATTTCTCACATTTTCATAAGAGTTAGTATGGTCGAAGCAGTCCTATCAACAATTGATTGAAAACAATCGTAAAGAAGTTAGATATTGAGAATGGATCGAAGCCCCTGCTGGTAATGAAGTGGAGGAAACGCTTGGACGCTGTCCTTCCTGGTCATCGAGACCAAGCCCTACTCCTCTTCCATTTAAACTCGTTTTTTGAGCTGGTCGTCTCTTGCTGATGGTTTTCTTGAACTTATTCCCGATGAAGAGCAGATGATTCTATGAGTACCGATCCAGAGAGTTAATTCAGAATTTCCCTTGATTTACAAAGTAAAACGTGACCGACGAAGACTAAAGGACATGGTTAAGACAAATGATTTTGAGTGTCAGTACCTAAGGACTACTTTAACTACGTCTTGCCACGTTTGGTTAGAATATGGAACGTCTTCTACTCTATCGCACAGGGTAAGTTTTCCCAAAACTTTTTTTTATGAAAATCAAAATCATTACCGATATTTTTGTTATTTATTTTTTGTTATTTTGTTATTAAAGTTAACATTTTTATAAAGAAAAATGGCGAGATGCTTCCCAAAAACAACAAACGTAGCAATACAACAATGAAGCCACGGCTCCGAGCTTTCGCTACACCTCATGGAGATCGTGTTAAAAAACTACTTCCATTTCTTTGAATATGTTCATTTATCATCTGTCTTGTTCTGCACTGTCTTCATTAAAAAAGGAAATGTTTCTTACAGGACTGTGATACTCTTCTCCAAACAAAGCAAATTTTTTCGATTTCTAATTTCGGACTTTATGAAAAAAAAATGGTTATGACTTGATCAAAAGAATGCATGGATGGTATGGTATGGTTCGTGTAGTACGATAATGCCTTCAGATGTCAAATTCGTGAGCCTTTTGGAACACGGTCAACTTTTTCAACGCCGCAAGTTAAAGCAGTAAGCTCCAACAAAGTACCAGTAATCGCTCTAAGTCATCCTTGATATTTCAGGTAATTTTGGGTTTGAAATTTAGCGTACATTCAAGTGCTTTTCAATTCTGAGCATGGTTTATTGAATATTAAAATATTAATCCCCAATGTTAGAGCTCTGTTTATTTTAATATAAAGCACAAAGAGAGAAAATGCAAGACCAGAATGGCTCGTTTATTTACTGACCATTTTGATTCTCCTTAGCTCCAGGGATTGATCAATAATGATTGAAATTTTAATAAATTCCTAATATTTTACTCTTTTTAGTGCAAACATTTATGAACTTGTTTTCACAAAAAGTGCGTTTGATTCTCGTTTAGCCGTTCTAGCCATATACTGCAAGCACCTAATTTAATTAGCGAAATTTAGCTGTAGATTGAAAAATGTGTTTCTAAGTTTGAGGACGCAGTTGAGGTTGAAAGACAGGGACGTAAACAATTCGGTAGTGATTCTCCTATACGGGAAACAATCCTGTCAGTAAATGAGCGTTTTAACGAGACTGGAAGTTCCTGCCTCGTTTGGGTAGCAAAAGAAGAGTTCGTACAGAGCAAGAGGTGGAATCAGTGACAACAGATTTTCCTCATCAATTCAGGCAGACGCAGATCCTTAAAATGGCCTCCCAGATCTCGTGATCCAACGCTTTCACTCTTTCTTTTTTTATGGGGCGTAGAGGAAAGAGTTTGTGCCCAGAAATGGGCAATGACTCATGAACTCAAAGAAGTCTCTGAAGTTCTGCAGGGAATCCGTCAGGACATGTGGCAAAAAGTATGTCATTCCGTGAAGGAACGCCTGCAGGAGTGCCCAGACAATAATGGCGGACAAACTTAGTCGTTTTGGGGGGATTTATCTGGGGTATATTTTAGCATAAAAATGTGGTATGTGCCAAGTTCCCGTATTTCTTAGATACCAAGATATGAGCATTTGAGTCAGTTCGGTCATATTGCATAACATCTTGAACAGTATTATGTGAATATGTGATATTCAATGTACTCATTCAATGTACTAATGTGTTTGCCTTGTCCCTCATATCCGCCAGGAAAATACCATCATGGTGGGGCACGAGTGTCTCAATTTTTCCAAGGAAGGTCACAGAATTTCAGATACGATCGGAAAAAGAATGGAAATTTTCAATAAATGTTTTGAACGGTCCCCGAACGAGTGTACCGATTGTTGAATGGGAACGGACGATGAGCCTTATTATTACCTTCTTTTTCCCCCGCCGTCTCGAGAATCCAGTTGGGACCTTCTCATTTCCATTTCGATCGTTGGTAACGGAATCCTCGTAGAGGTGAACTTTCTCTTCCGTTCATCTCGCTCCGATGCTTGGGATCACAGATAAAGGATCTGGCCTGTAGGATCGAGTCGGATGGAGGGAATCTGGCCCCAACGTTCTCAACGTACGTCGCTACTCCCTCCATTCCATGTTCGACTTTTTTCGTCGAAGCGACCTATCGAACGTTTCAGTCAAGTCGAGAGATTAACTTTAGATTAATCAACATTCTCTTCTGGCTTGGCCAGCCACATCATACCACAATGATGAATTTAAAAAAAGATGACAAAAATGGATGGGAGTTTCTATTGTGAAAGAGATTCACTACAAGAGCTTCCTCTGAAATTGTTAAACTGCGCAAGAAAGCTTGTGGCCAAGTAATCTGTATTCCGTCGCTGTATGGACTGAACAGCTCAATGAAACATTCATCTGAAAATTTGAAAGGATGCATAGTTACCGATATGAAACCGTGCATAGTTACGAATGCATACAGCGTCCTCCGGCCCTTCTTTTTCTTTTATCTCTTCCCTCAAAACACTTAAATACTTGTGCTACTACCAGTTCTCAACCGATAATAAATTCCAGTCTATTTGAGTTTTATTTTTTCAATAAATTAT